TAAAATACATATTTATTCCTACCTAAGGAGGACACGCCAGTTTTACAGGCATGGATAAGTATTATTTAAATTACGTAAATTTATGTAATGGCGGTGAAATTACATGCTGGCTGTCGTTTTCGTCTTTGGTTTATGGGAACAGTCCTCTAACTAGTCATTCAATGGGGACATCAAGAAATATAGAAATATTTTCTTCGCATTAACAAAATAAACCCAAGTATTTTTTGGATGGATTACAAATACTTGGGAAAAAAGTAAAGCTTGAAGTCATTCCGCCATATAACTTTGGTGTGTGCGGCATCGAGTCTTATTCTTGATTTACATCCAAAATGGGTAACAGTTCAAAATAAGTGATATTGTCCTGTGTAAAAATGTCTATCATGTGCTTCCAATAATATTAAAATTCATAATTGTAGTTTGTTGTAACTACACGTTTAATGAACTTAAAATATCTATGTTGGGCGAAAAAGAGGGTGTAGGAGTCAGACGCAGAAGCGCATTGTCATCTTTGAGCAGTCCGATGACTTAGGAGATGAACACTGAAAGTGTGTTTGCATCACGCACATCAGCTGGTAGTCTATTCCAAATGACTGAAAACTTATTTAAGAAGTTGCACTGCATCTAAGTCTGACAATGTTCTATAGCATCTCGATTGTCATGATTTCTAAGATTGTAACTGATGACAGCGGTAGGTTTTATTATTGGCTCGGAGAAGTGCACGAGCAGATTAGTTAGCTTGTAGTAAAAAATTAGGTTCAGCTTAAGACGTCTTTTCCAGAGTGGTTCTAATCTTAGTCTGTCGCAACGTTCATAGTATTCGAGACCATTTTCTAAACCAAGAGTTCTTCAGGGAAATTTCCGTTGCATTCCCTCTAATTTAAGCTTGTCATTTTGTCGTAGTCCGATAAGAATAAACGGGCAGTATTCTAAAATAGGTCGGTCACATACTTTGTATAATAAAACCCTAGTTTCACAACAAAAGAAATTGCGAGTTATGCATCCTAGAAGCCTTCGTGTTTTATGTCTGGCATAATCAGTTTGTTCAGAGAACGTTAAGTTACGAGAGTATCTGATGCCGAGATCTGCGACTGAGTTGAGCTTGGCTAGTTTTCGCCCATTTATTTCAAGAGTTAGGTCAAGGTTACTGTTGCCGATACAAATCCAGCCGCATTTGTCAATGTTAAACCTTAGACAGGATTCAGCAGACCACGTTGTAAGACCACTTAGTTAAAGATGTATTTTACTTACCATATCGTTTAATTCATGAGTGTGGCAGGAGTAAATGATTTTGAGGTCGTAAGCATATAGGAATGGTTTGCCTGAGGTGAAGCAGTTGTAGACTGTAAATAAAAGTGGCCCTAGGACACTACCTTGCACAACCCCTTTTGAGATCTGCCTAGATAGAGACAATACAGATCCGACTTTGGTGGCACAGTGGTTAGGACTCTCGCCGACCATGCACATGGTCCGGGGTTCGACCCCCTGCCGGCGCACACCCGATATCTATGGTCGGCCTGAATTTGGGCTACCGATATCCATGCTGAAAATTCCACACTTGTACTGAAAATACGGTGTGGAATCAAGCTGTAAATCAAAATAAAAATAAAAATATTTGTACCCTGTTGCTTAGAAACGATCTTAACCAGTTCAGTAATAGGCTGCAAATTCCACATGAGTACAGCTTCTCAAAGAGAATACTCTGAGACACCATGTCAAATGCCCTAGATATATCGAAGTAGAGAACAACGACTAGCTTATGTGCTTCGCAACTACAAGTGGTGCAGTTGAAAAAGTCGAAGTGCAAGTAACGCAGGACCCATTTTTGAGAAATCCTTGTTGAGGCCTTGTAACAAAATCTTCCCTAAGTAGACAGTCTGACAACTGATCTTTGACAACTTTCTCCATGATTCGCGAGACAACTGGGGTTATATTTATGGGTCTGTAATTGCGAATGTTTGCCTTATCACCAAATTTGTGGTGTGGAATTATGAAGCTAGTTTTCCACTCATTAGGGTAAGTGCCAGTATCCATAGATATTGAGAAGAATTTAAGAAGTAATAGGGGTATATCACACCCACTGTTTTTGAAAATTATAGAAGCAAGGCCATCTGGTCCCGTGCTAGTAGAAGGTTTCAGGCTTTTAACTGCTTGTTGTATTGATTCGTTTGTTAACACTATGCTTCCGAAGGAAGAACTAGTAAGGGGGCGGTTTCACCAGGGATGCGCGTTTCTAAACTGAAGTTTGCAAACCACTCACCGAATATTTCACAGATAGTGGCAGGCACATTGCAGATAACTTTGTCATTAAGTAAGTAGGGGATGTCCCTGATTGACCGCATTCGTTTTTCGAGAAGTGTTGTTAGGTTGTAAACTTTGGAGGCACTTTTAAGTGCCCTTAACTCTTCGTCGAGTTCCTTTTGAGGGCCTAGGCGCTTGATAGATTCAAGTGACTGTTGCACTGAGTGCAGTAGTGATATGTCCTAAGTGGAGTAGTACTGTTTCATCAACTTCATTAACTTATTGTGGTATGCCCGTTAAATGTATTCAGCTTGTTGTCTACTTAATTTCACTAACTTCTTAGGAACAACAGTATCTAGACAAAGGGTAACATCCCTGTAAAATAAGGACACTACAGCCTCCAGGGAGTCAGTGTTAAAATAGTCATCCCATTGGCTACTTCGCGCGTTACTGACTAAATGTGATCTTCATGTGTATTTACACCCAGGCTAGCGAAAAGTAGGTCATCTACGTGTTCTTTGGCGAAAGGCAGTTCACGGAAAACGTCCTCTACAAACCTATGGTGAGTTTGTGGGGCATTCATGTGTACAACCGCTCTAGGAAGAAGGAAGAGACAAGACAAGGAATGGTTGTCAACGGATAGCTGGAAGCTAATTGGGGATAGGAGGATGGTGAAAGCGAAGATGACTCAATGCAAAGATGGACAACAGAAGGAGAAGCTGAGTTCAATGTACACTGCAGTGAATACGGAGAGGCGTGAAGAAGAGTGCTAGTAAAGACAAACGACAGTTCTACGACACACTGGCTAGCAACTAAAGCAGAACAGGCAGGCTGCAGGTAAAAGATACCTCAAAACATTTTGTCATATAACCAGGTCTCTATCCGGGAAGAGATAAACCCAGATGATGGAACCAATAAAAGATAACCAAGGGAACCTTATTGCCAAGTAGGAAAAACAAATCAAACAGTGGGCTGATCACTTTAAGGGACTCTTGATCACTCCACCGGCAACTCACCCAGAGATACTGCCACCACCAAAAGAGCATACGGAAATGCCAGTGGACGCCACTCCTGCAAAGAGAGCAGAAATCCTGAATGCTATCAAGCCACTGAAGTTCGGGAAGGCAGTAGGACCAGACGACATTCCTCCTGAAGCACTGGAGATGGCCCCAGAGATTACAGCAGATGCTCTGGCTTCATGACTGCAGAAAATTTGGAAAGAAGGAAAGGTGCCCACTGACTGGAAGGGCTACCACGTCAAATTGCCAAAGAAGGGCGACTTACACCTCACTCTGCAAGAACTGGCGTGGAGTAATGCTCTTGTCCACACCAAGTAAAATATTAAGTCACATCATCTTGGAGAGAATGAGGGGTGCACTGGATGCAGAACTTCACCAGACCCACTGGAACAATCTGAATTCAGGAAAGGCAAATCAAACTGCAACTCTCCGCATCGTCATCGAACAAAGCATAGAATGGCAGTCAAACCTCTATCTGAACTTCGTCGACTCCTAAAATGCCTTTGACAGTGTAGACGGGGAAGCGATTTGGAAACTACTTCAAGTCTTTGTCAACCCTATTTAACCGCTATATGACAACGCCATGTTTTAGATGATCCATAACGGAAAATTCAGCGAGGTGTTCGAAGGGAATACAGGAATAAGACAAGGCTGCCTATTATCACCGATGATATTCTTAATTGTAGTGGACTGGATTATGCACCAGACTGTGCAAAGTGATTGAGAAGACAGGAACAAGCTGGACGATCGATAAGAAGACTCTAGAAGATCTGGATTTCACAGATGATATATGTCTAATGTCACACAAACTCGAAGACTTGCAGACAGAAAGGACGAAGATGACAAAGTCAGAATCGGAAAGGCAAGATCCGCCTTCATCAACCTAAAACCAGTTTGGAAATCTTCTTTACTCAGCATAAGGAACGAGATTCTCATTTTCACCACCATTGTGAAGTCGGTTCTTCTATACGGGTTAAAAACTTGTCTTTTCACGGAAAGGAATTTCCTACAGGTTGCCTTCGCTTGCTCCATACTGAAGATCAAATGGCCAGAAAGAATAGTTAACAAGAAACTATGGGAATACACCAACCAATAGCCCAGCAGATATTTAGGAGAAAGTGGAGATGGATTGGGCATAGATTCAGGAGACCGCCAAATGACGTTTCGCGCCAGGCCCCCAAGTGGAAGATATGGGAAGCAACGAGTGGGTCGTCAGTGCGAGGGCGACATGGAGGAAATCGTGTGAGGAAGAGGTGAGAGAGTTTGGTCAGTCGTGGACCCAGCTGAAGAGGACTGCAGAAAACAGAACAAAGTGGAGGTGTGTTATTGAAGCCCTATTTTCCACTCGGAACGCAAGGAGATAATAATATAACAATAATATACCATCAGTGAAAGAGACGTATTGGCCACTTCGTCAGAGTTTCAGACGCAAAATGGTTATCCGCACATGATACAGATATAAGGAGGCAGGTATCCCATGCTGTATGCCAAAAATACCAACGCCACTTCTACATTTAGACAACGGAAAGATAAAGTAGACTCCCAGTCAGAAGATTCCCTCGGTGGATATAAGAAGTTAATAAAAGCTCCCGATACCGAAAAAGTTGGATTTCAATGAGAATACGGAATATGTAAGGAGGATTTTGCTTCCATTTGTGCAAAACCCGTCGTTTCTGCTAACATAAAATGTGAACGGCTCCTGCAATATGAATTTTTTGATATTTACATTGAACAATATTGTTACTTTGTCTCCTCGAGTGAACTCCATCTCCTATACTAGGCGCCTTGTTCAAAAATGTTTTCGAAGGGTGTTAGTATTTTCAGATTTGCAGTTAATTTGAGGAGTTTCGTAACTGCTTCTAAGGTAGCTCATTGCACATTTACCTAACAGCATGTCTGATAGTCTGCTCAAAAAGTTGCAGTGTTAGGTGCAAGTGGTGGTATCGGACAGCCTTTATCACTTCTTTTGAAACAGTCGCCCTTAATTTCTCATCTTTCACTGTACGATATAGCCCATGTGAAAGGTGTGGCTGCAGACCTTAGCCACATTGAAACCCAGGCGAATGTGACATCCCACCTTGGACCAGCAGAACTTGCAGATTGCCTGACTGGTGCAAGTGTCGTCGTCATTCCAGCTGGTATGCCACGAAAGCCTGGTAAGTTTACCCCGTGTTTTGAATTAAGGCATACATTTTAGTTTGCGGATCTGTTTTTGTTTTATCTTGGGGGTGTGTTATGCATACAGATGCCTCACTCAATAGTATATTGTTAACATCCCACCCATATATGTGAACGTGCTTGAACCTATAAGACAATGCAAAATGCTAGACCATATCCCCATTTGCCCCACTTTTGACACATCTCACCTTCCCCATGTAAGCTACTAAATATCCTAAATTTTGAACAGAAAGCGTTCCAACATTTGCACCATTGACTCATGTTCACGGGGAGATTTCTCGAGTGGGACGGCTTGACACGAATGTGTAATTTTTGGGTCCAGAGTCATACTGCATAAAACAAAGTACTGACGGGTTTGTCAGGATATCTACATGAGATCGGGTAGTATTGGGTCGTTTGTATTTTATTATAGGAGTTTTCCAAACTTCAGAATTTTAGGAAAAAGTTCATCTAAAGTGAGAGTCGTAAATCTTTACTTCCAGCAAATCCTTTAACACTTGCTGCTTAGTATTATGTGTGATAAATTTTTTATTTACACACATGTGGGACTAGACGTAGGTCGAAATAATCTATCAAATACTCATTTGTAATGTAATCATCATAAATACTGCTTATTCGTGTATGTATCGATACTAATCCAGTCCTAATGATGTTTATGCATTTATTTAAAGTAGTGGAAAATGGCTAGAAGGATAACGAAAGCTTTGCTACTAAACCGAATTACTGTATTGTTGGTTCCTAGTTTTTATAGTACATGCAAGTGAGTGTCCTACACAATCTAAAGCTACTTATACAAATTTTGGTAAGGTAGATGTATAGTTGCCTTGATGAAGCTGGTGAATGGTATTATGAGTAACCCTGGAGGTTTACTTAGTCTCCAAGGGTTTACTGCTTAGAGGCAATGGAACGTTAACCAGGTGTTGTCCCAATGAATTCTGCCCAAATTTTCGGACTATGGAAAACCGATATAGCAGATTAGTCCACTGCAAATCACAGGGGTTATGCAAAATAACACTTGTGAATGTTAGTGGTAGTCAGATATTCTACTTTTCCATTTGAATGAAGTCTGAGTGAAGTGAGAAAGACTCATTTGATGCCAAGTGTCAGGAGTCGGACAGTTTCAAGCATTTATACAATTCACTACACAAATTCAAATTTCAACCTTTTCGATGATAAGACCTTAATATTCAGATCGTATACTCATCTTTTGAACTGCAGATCTTATTTAGATCTTACCGTCCAATACAGTTCACTTGTATTCCTAGTATTATAAGTCTTTTTAAATTCTACGAGTGTACTAGGTTGTTAAATTTTAGTAATGTCAGTTTTTAACTTCTCGACCGACCGCTTATTTGTGCTGTTCGCTTGGTTTTCTTAAGGGATGACACGTGATGATCTGTTCAATACAAATGCATCTATTGTTGCTCAGCTCGTTGATGCATGTGCTAAAAGCTGTCCAAAGGCAATGATATGCATTATCACAAACCCTGTCAACAGCACTGTGCCAATTGCAGCAGAAATTCTAAAACGTCATAATGTATATGATCCCAAACGTCTTTTTGGAGTTACTACGCTCGATGTCATACGATCAAATACCTTTATCGCTCAGGCGAAGGTAAACTTCATTTTGTCAAACTCACCTATTTCCTTTCAGGATCTTGCTGTACGGAAAGTTTCTTGTCCTGTCATTGGTGGTCACTCAGGTATTACAATTCTCCCGGTGATTTCTCAGTGTACTCCCCATGTGTCATTTCCACAGGTATAGTGTCTTTCATTTTTAAAAACGTCCCATTTTATGGAGCTGTCACAAAAGGAACTTCCTTAACCTTGAGAGGGCAAATCACAGTTAAAATATTGTATTCTTATGTTAGACTCATGAGTCTTAAGCCGAAGTGTACAATGTCGCTTTATCAAGCTATTCTATTTGTTGTTATTTGTGTAGATATTATTCACCTTTGAACGACACTACTATGAGAATTATTGAACATAACTCATATTATCAAAATAAAGGTTTATTAACAGTTTTGCGTATGAATATTGTCTGCCTGGATAATTCGAATTGTTCAATGATTATTTACAAGTATTTCATGTGAGTTGTTCATTTTCTCTTGACATTTCAAAGGATGAACGGGAAAAAATTACTAAACGCATACAAGAAGCTGGTACAGAGGTTGTTGAAGCGAAAGCGGGAATGGTAAGTTTCTTGAATATAATATACATTCAATTATCTCTCTTCAATCGTTTCTCAACAACCCATTTCTTTTTTTTTCACTGATAATTTCCTGCAAGAGAAATTATTCAGTGAAGGAATGTCAGTCAAACAATCTCATGAATTTCAATGAATGTTAGAAAAGTCTCGTTGACACCAAGTAGTGTATTCAGAGCATAACTAAAGTACTACGGGGTTACAAAGAAGTTGAGTAGATATGACTCACAGTTATTTAGTCCATTTTGTTAACCACAATGTATCGACTGCTTTCAGTGGGTGGTTTTATAATTCTATATCAGGTATATAAGAAAGGCATTTCAATTGTTATTCAAACGTCTACAGATATATCATTACCATATTGAAGTTTTAATTATAGTTGAAGAAATATCGTGTTCATGTTTAAGCCCTTCGTTGGGCCATCTTTCTGTCGTGCATAGGTGATATCCATAAACTCACATTATTACCTATTTATTTGTCTTTTGTTTCATTATCCTAGAGATTATAACTGTGTTGCTATGCTCGATTCCGACAAGTGACATCTGAAATTTCATCAGAATTGTAGGTGCATGCAGGTTCATAAATTCTAGCCATTCCCACCTTTAAAGGCTTCATGTTCGCTATTGTCTTGAGAACCCTTACCTCGATATAATTGTGTTGCAGTATTCACTAACAGGTCTGTCTGCCATTCAATTCAGTTCGGACTTTCCTGTTGATTGATTGAAACAAAGTGCTCGGTCTCAGGGCGGTATCTATACAAGGAGCCGACATATCAAACTGAGGTCGAATACTTTGTTTCAATCAATCAACAGGAAATTCCGAACTGAATTAGATAATTGCTAATGCCCGTCGCACAAGAGGTGGTTATTGTTACCCAAGTGGTCTAGTAGATAACGCTTTGGGGCTTGAAACTATGGTTAGTGGGTTCGAACCTCAGTGGGAACATTGTCACTCACTGGGAAACGCAGGCACATCCAACTGACGACGAGTCCCAACTAGGACGAAACGCGCATCCTGAATTCCACTACTGGCCACTTACTCCAGTTTCGTTTGCTGTTTATAAAGTCTATAGATAATATCTTTCTAACAAAAGCAAGATAGCAGATACTGTACAACTTTAAAACCATAGATTTAAACCACCACGTCAGGGCTTCATTCACGCGTATGTGTTACTAGTTATCTCTCTGTCGTGTAGTTAAGCAGGAAATATCTTGAAGATCTTATTTTATCATTTCGGTTGCTAATAAAATTGTCTACAATGAGCCAAACAGTAATTGAAGTGTACAACTGTCTGTAACGGATAAAGTTTCCTTTTGTATGGCCAAATTAAATTTTTTAAAATATTTACTATGTATACCATTAAACAGTCTAGCATAGTTCTAACTCTGCTACTTAGTATTATTGCTGAAATAAAGTGTTCCGGTTCATTGCTTAGCTTATAATCGGATTTACACTTATTAGGATTACCAATCGCGTCATTTTTTGATATCTAAAATAACAAATGACTCCTCAGATCCAATAGTTTTACATTCCCAATGTTTATCACTTATAAGGTATCTTAGTGCAGAGTTAGATCTTGGTTTTTGTTTTATAAGATATGCAGTCATATGTACTGCATATGATAGTATTTTGTCCTAAATTTTAGACGTTCTTCATGTTAGAAGCCATGTAATGCCTCTGTCTGAAGGTATAATCCTAATGTGGTTTACTTTGTATCTTGTTCAGGGATCTGCTACATTATCGATGGCCTATGCTGGAGCAAGATTTGCTACCTCACTCTTGGAGGCTATGAGTGGTCGGGCGGGTATAGTAGAGTGCGCTTTTGTTCAGTCAGATGTTACGGAATGTGAATTCTTCTCAACTCCCCTTGGACTTGGTGTAAGTTAATTATTGTATATTTTGTGGTGGTTGGCTTATTGTATACTATGAGTATAATCTAGTAGGTTTGTTGTTAAATCTCAAGAAGTGTTTTTATAATCAATTGATCTTGGTTTCTACTTTTGTTCAAAATAGCTATAAAATGAACTAGGTTTGAACTTACTGATGTCATGTCGAATGGGATCACTCAACTAATCTTATTTTCCAAGAATAAAAGGTATAAATTTTCCAGTTTACTCTTGTAAGGTGACAGTATGGTTACATTACGAAAATCCGAACACTTAACATTTATGTTCATATTCGGTAAGTAATTTCAGATTGTAGACATCCTCTGTGCTGCAGATCAAGTTGTAATTGGGTGAATAATTCATGCAGCCAAGAGGAATTTAGTCCAAAGTACTTACTTTCTTAGATGTTAGTCTAGAAATGTCGCATGTTTGATTGACAGATAAATGCATTATTCGCTAGGCACTTAGAAATATTATGTGAAACTAAAACATAATCGATTTGTGGATACTATATCCTAACACATGCATTTCCAGACATAATTGAGCCAGTGTTTTGGTTCTGAATAATTTAGCTAGGATATTAAATAAAGGGATTGTGTAAGGCATCGTTGTATGCGGAGATATCTACTGAAGAGTATAATGCAATTTCACCGCTTAGTGTTTTATATACTCTAGTGATTATATTCCTCTGGGCAGTTTCAAGAGCGTTGGACAGTATCTGGATCTCCAATATGAAAAAGACAGGCGCGCTTTTAAATTCACTAGTATGATTAATTTAACATGAACACTGATAAAGATGTTTGTTATTTCGTACTTTTTACACTGGTGGTTGATTGTAGTCCCTTTATTGTACTACATTTCCAAAGTTTTATGCCCTAACTTATTCTTCTTATTCCTCTTCTTTCTAGGCCTCAGGTGTTGAGAAGAATATGGGTATTGGCAAATTGAACGAATACGAGATTGAATTACTTAAAAAACTAATTCCAGAATTGAAAGCAAATATTAAAAAAGGCAAAGAATTTGCAGCTACTTTTACACCTAAGTAATAAGTGTAACTAGGAGGAGGTGTTCAGATCTTCCCTTTCACCATTTACCACCACCGCCTAGCATCAATTACATTATTCTTTTATACATACTTTTCTGTATTTCATCTGCAGTTATTTGTTCTTTTAAGTAGTAGTATCAAGTCTGAATTGATCGTTAAAAAAGTGGATAAAACTTGGTTTTCAAGTGTTTTTTGTTCAAGTTCAATCTTTTCTTTTTGTTTTCAATTGTTTTTTAGGTGTTACTTGATAATAATTGTTCAAATACAATATAAATATAGAGAAGCCTTTGTTTTTATTAGATGATGTCATTAGTAGTTGCCTTTTCCTCTTCTCCTTTTTCTTCTGTTTGCTTTCATTATCTCTTTTTGTTTGTTATTTCTTTGTCTTCATTTTTCTCCATCTACACTTGATGTAATGGTGTATTACTGCATACAACATAGCAATTTCATATTGCTTCAGTTTCCTGTTTGTTGACAAATATGATATAATTAGTTAAAGTTAAGTGTTCTAATTTATCATGAAAAAGTGACATTTCATGAAATAATAATAATAAAGTGTATTCTGCTTCACACATGCGACGATTGTGATTTTTTTGTTTGTAATTGTTGTCTTCGAGAGAGATATATATTGGAGTAAGTAATGCGTGTAGTCGTCAGTTTTCTGCCTATGTGTCATCGTATTGTATGGTTATCTCTAGTTTAAGTTAAGTTCACTTGTCCATTAACAGTGCCAATTAACTCGGTTTCCAAGGGAAACTGATGAAATTTCGTCTTGAACTGTATAAATTGCCAGTTCGCCCAAGTAACTAGCCAGAATTCAAGTGGTTCGGACTGTTTTAGCTCTCTGAGTGGAGTCAAGCTGGGTACACCTCTGGTGAGGCTGGTGCCAAATGTGCATAACGACTGTCTGGCGTTTAGATCATCTCTGTCTGACTAGTTGATGTGAGTGGCGTCGAACTACTCATGTCTATCAATCAGTAGTATGTAGCCTCATACACTAATGAACGACTGACTGCTGATCACCTCAGTTCCAGTAACCCTGGAAGCTTCTCACTGGCAGCCCGTATTCATTTGTCGTATAGCCTTTAGAACAAGTTATTTTTAGAGTCGAAGTAAATTATTCAACATTCATTCCATCCTGTCGTAATATTATCAATTTCGTTAAATCACTAATCAGTTTTGTGATAGTGTAGGAAGTTTCTGACGACATAAGGTTGGTGCATGTGAGCACATTTTGTCGATAGAAGTGAGTTTAACGGTTCTCACAAGTTATTTTAGGCGTTTTATTTAATAATATTTAACTGGTTCGGCTTTTTGGTGAAATCTACGAACGCAACAAATGTGCTGACAGTACTTTATATATATTTTATTATTGTTCCCTTGAGTTCCGAGTGGAACATAGGGCTTCAACAACACATCTCCACTTTGTTCTTTCTTCTGCCGTCCTCTTCAGCTGGGTGCACTATTGACCATAATCTCTCAACTCCTCCATGTCACCCTAAGACGACCCACTCGTCGCTTCCCATTTGGATTGCACTCGAGTGATGACCTGGCGCGCGATTTCATTCGACATTTTCCTCAATATATGCCCGATCCATTTGCATTCTCTCCTGCATATTTGTTGGGCTATCGGTTCTTGGCTGGTTTGTTCCCAGAGTTTCTTGTTACTTATTCTTTCTGGCCAGCCGGCTGGCCATTTGATCTTCAGTATGGAGCAAGCGAAGGCAGGCAGCTGTTGATGAAAGTCTGCAACCTGTTGGAAATCCTTTTCGTGACACGCATTGAAAGTTCCTTACCTGTATTGAAGGACTGACTTGACATTGGAGGCGAAGATGCGAATCTTGTCCCTTAAGCTGAGTGAAGAAGATTTCCAAACTGGTTTTAGGTTGATGAAGGCGTATCTTGCCTCTCCGATTCTGGCTGGCTGTGACAACTTCATCCGTTGCATTTGCCTGTAGTTGAAATGATGCTTCCCAGATAAGCGAAGGAGGCATCCTCTATTAAATTTCTCCCGTTGATGGTGACTGGTGCTAGTTGTTGTTGCTGTTGACTGGTTATCTTCATCACCTCTGTCTTCTCTATGTTCACCTGGAGTTCTGTCTTCTCTGACTGCTTCTTCAGCCAGTTTGTTGGTTTTCGCCTGCCTACAAGTCTTCGAGTTTGTGTGACATTAAACATAAATCATCCACACATGAAGTCCAGACCTTTTAGAGTCTTATCGGTGGTCCAGCGTATATATATATATATATATATATATATATATATCAACAGTCTATGATTTCATAGACTGATTCTTTCAGTCAAATCCTACTTCAAGTAACTTCGGCCGTCGAGGAAGACAGTAAATGTGCATCAATGGCATATGTATCCTAACCACCTGAATCGATGAAACTTCATAATCTAGTGCAACAACTTGTCGTCTCCATCTGATACTTGAATTCAATAGCACATTGAGAAATAGATCTAAAGGGAAAAGAACAAGAAGTTTAGCGAAGACATCTTTTCGGCGACTTCATTCTCCAAAAGCTGTGCAATCGCATTTATATACACAAGTTTACATAGATACAATCATTATTTAATTCCATATAGTAACAAAGGAGACTAAGGGTCGTAATAATTTTCAACTTGACTTGAAAGTTTGAAGGTATGAATATAGATTACACAAGGGATTTAGAGACAAGATTACACAGGATTAGAAAATAGTTTTTTTAACGACTAAAGTTGTGAATGGGATGAGCATGGGAACAAGTTAGACGAATAAGGGGATGAAAAAACGGGATCAAAGGAGACAAACCGAACTAGATCCATGGCAAAGGTAGGGGTTGAACCACTTTCCTTTGGAAACGCAACTCCGGTTTTTTTGATGCATATGGCAAGGGCTTCTGCAGTACAAGGCAGTTGGAAACACACTGCCTTTGGTAGATTTTTGTGTACTTTGTAAGTGACTCTGAATGACGAATCAGTTGAAATGCTGTGACAGGTGTTGACTAGGGGGTTCAGTTATGGCGCCTTTGATTGAACCAGTGCCTCCTCTTCATGGCCATGTTGGGTAATGTTCTCTAACGCGTTTTGATAGGACCCGCATAGAAAGACCTGTGTGTCTAGCTCCGCATGAGCAGGTGAAGTGATATGTGCACGTCAAAGTGGTCTTAATAGGTCTAAATAAAGGTAAAAGAGAAATATGAAAACAACTGTTCACTAGTGGACTTATTCTTCGGTAGATGTTTGCAATAGTGTGGTCAATTTGTCCATGGTATTTTCAATGTTAAATCTAGGCTACTTTGTTTGTTTTTTGTTGAAGTATTTTTTATTCCATTTATCATATAAACATGTGGAACTGTGATAAGAAACCGAATCGATTGAATTCGCTTGTCAAAATATGAATTTTTAGAATAATCGATAAGTCTGAAAATAAAATCACAACACGTTTTTCTTCATTTGTTTGTTTATGTATATGTGGACAAGTTTATTCTTGACATATTACAGACTATACAAATAAATATATATACTTTATAGGAAGTTTAAAGTTTTTATGATAACCCGTCTAATAGAGTGCAGCACTTAGTTTCAACTGTTAAGAATATTATGAAGAGATAGTTCACCTGTACCAATCCCGTTATACCTTATCTAGTCTGATTGATTGATTGACTGATTGTGTGGCGCATAATCTAAGCAAAGAAAGCACAAGAAACATTATTTCAAAATATAATTCTGCCAGTGGATTTCATTCTAGAAATAAATTAACTAACAATTTTAGTGTGATGACATGCATCCTTCCCTTTTACAAATAATTTGTAGTTGGGACTATGGCTAACTGACACTTAAGCACTTGACTTACAGCTAATGGTTCACGGGTTCGAGTCGCACTTTACTCATTTCAGCCTTTGGGGTATTACCAGCCCCCACATGATGAGTCTGGTTCGTAAGCTGATATGAAGGATCTGTTCTGATTAATAAACAGCTGGAGCGCCTTATTTCACACTTCATGCTACATCTTATGGCATACTGGTAGATATATTGTTTCTCTACAAGGTGGACTAAAAGTCGATAAAACTATTTTAAAAATTCCACTGGTTGACTTAGCTTTCTATTTAAACAAACATAAATTGATCAATGGATATATGGGGACCACTTCTCCCTGATAAATTGCTGGTCACTTAGTGGAATTTCATTAGTAAATTTTCGTAATGCACATGTAATTATAATTAAAATTGCGATTGTGTCCATCAACATTTGAACAAAAATCATTTCTTGTCATCTTCAATATCCTGAGAATTACCTTGACTGACAGCTACAGTATTTCTGCACTTGTGTCTTGAATAGCTGAGTTTTTAAATGACACATTAATATACTCGAAGTTGTAGATACACCTTATTAATCAGTGGGTACTCAGCTGTCCAGCATACATTTTTCCTGAACGAAACGCCAGATATTGTCGCTGTGGGGGACTCCAAGTCGCGACTCTTTGTCTTAAATTCAAACGCTTGATCCAATGAACCTCCTCTTCTTATTCATGATTACTAATAAATGGAAAAATAACAAAACTTCAGTACTGAAAATCCGAATCTTTTCCCAGTATATAAATTTACTGTACTCAGTGTGAGGAACAAGATTCAGATATTCAACACTAATGCCAAATCAGTCGGTGTTTATGTATCATTTAGAATCTTGACACTTCATAAAAAGCATTTCCGAAGGGCTGCCAACCTCCATTAACAGTCGCCTTTGCTTCATACTGAAGATAAGATGGCCATCGGGAAAGGATTAGTGACAAGGAACTCTGGGATCAAACCAACCAAGAACATAGTACCCAACGAATATGAAGAAAAACATTGAGGTGGACTAGGAATAAATTGTGGAGACCGTTGCGTAACTTCACGCTCCAAGTTCTCGAGTAGAAGCCAAATGGGAAACGGCAAGTTGGGCGTGGCTCCAAGGGAGATATGGAGATGATAGCTTACGAGAAGTCGTGAAACCAGTCTAGAAAGAGTGAAGAAATAGGTGAAGTAGGGATGTCATGTTGAAGCCCTATGTTCTACTTAGAACCCAAGAGAACAGTGATAACAATAATAATAATGAACAAATACGAAGTATAAAGCAGACCAGGATAATAAACTGATTGCTTCTAACATCTCAGAGCCATATTCTAGACATGACGCTCTCTTATTAACAC